TATATATATATATATATATATATATATATATATATATATATATATATATATGTGTGTGTGTGTGTGTGTGTGTGTGTGTGTGTGTGTGTGTGTAAAAACACAGCAGCACAACACGTTGCTTATTTTTCAAGTTATACAGCTCACAAGGTTTATCTATAGACAGACAAGACAGACAGACATATACAGTACAGCAGCCATCTTTGATTTTGACCTGGCAACCCAATTTTCCAAAATAAACTTTCTTAGTCCTAGACGCAGCCACACAGCAAAACTGAAGTCGATGCATCATTTATTTTCCAGGTTACCACGCTCACAACAAGGACAGATGGATGGAGAGTTCTTTCCAATTCGCCCTGTTTGTTCTGCGATGGTGGGGGACAAAAATGTTGGGTCTTAAAACCTTTGTGCTGAAAGCTACAAGTTCAAACACAAACAGTGTTTTAGCTACCAGACAAGAAAAAAGACATCCTGCAGTACTGAAGGTTCCACACGTCAGCACTCGCATATCTGAGATCTGTTCTGATGGCTGGAACAGACAACATGTCCCCTCACCTCGGGAGGAGGGGGGGCACCCCGGGGGCCCAACTGCATCACCATTCTGTGTGTGTTGGCTCATACTGATTAGCTGTGAATTACTCTCAGCTACAACTACACCATTTCCTCAGTATTGGTGTATTTAAATTAAATGTTGCCATTTGTGTTTTCTAATGTGAACTGTAGTGGCAATCCTAAACCGAGTTGGCACCCAAAGTTAAAGAGTTGTAAATGTACATCCTATAATTACGTTCTGAGAGTTTCATTCAAATTTGTCCAATCGTTCATAAGATATTTTGCTAACAGACAGAATTGACTATCATGAGTTAATGCAATACTTTATAGCAGAATCTTAAGCAATCTGTTGGCACTCAGAACATGTGATGTAGCTCAACCTCAGTCACCACCACACCACAGGTCAGGTCAAAATTTATCAAAGTGATTGAGTTATAGCCGTTTAAGTGTTTTTAAAAGTCAGTTTGCTGTGGCAGTCATTTTAAATCGAGTGGACTGCAACAGTTAACCATTTGTAGATGTTTATCAACTTATGATTTTCGGCAAGTTTCATTAAAATCTGTCTAGTGGTTCATGAAATATTTTGCTAACAGACAGACCAATGAACACACAAACATGTTACACCTATAAATAATAAAACAGTAATGACAGAAATGATCCTGTCCTCCCTCACTCTGTTCACACATTGGTTTCATTTGGCTCTAGTTGTTTTATTCATGGTTATTGTTTCATCTAACAAATGCATATTGTGTAATATGATACCTGAGGGGGCGGGGCCAAGAGGGCAGACAGGATTATTTAAGGATGGCATTCCTCAGGTAAAGAACAGAAAACTGAAATGTAAACTCAGGACAAGTCTTTACGAAGCGTGTAGGAGACAAACAGGTGAGTCCAGCCGCTCAGAACCAAACTGTTCATGTTTCCTTAGGATTTGTTGACGTTGCATTAGAACTGTAAATTATTCAATTTTTATTTATTAAAGGTGAAGTAAACATTAAGAACACTTATTGCTAATCTTGTTTCCATCATGATTTCTGATTTTATATTTTTAAGAAAGAATCAAAAAGCATCAAGAAGTGCAGCTCAGTTTGGATCCATGTGCTTCGTGGTAAATTATACGACGTAGAAGAAATCTGGGGAAAAATTAAAAGCTTTAAATAATAAAAACAAGTTTAGTGTTTGTGTAAACGAGTAAGAAACCCCCAGTATGAGTTTTATGATACTTTAAGATTTTAAAACAGGATGGATATGTTTGTGATGATACACTCAGCAGTCTGAACTTTACAAGAATTGACTCTTTTTGTTTTTTTACTTTTACATATTTTACATTTATGTTCCAATGTAAGTGGCCGGTCTAGGTGGTTGGTTGGTTGGTTGGTTGGTTGGTTGGTTGGTTGGTTGGTTGGTTGGTTGGATGGATGGATGGATGGATGGATGGATGGATGGATGGATGGATGG